TGCAGGGTCTGCCGGCTGGGTGCTGGCAGCCTTGCACCTGGCACGGGCACCGTAGCCAGCCCGTGCCCCTTTAAGGGGTCCGGGGCCGGGAAGGGGGCAGTAGAGTTTCCCTGGTGTTGGCCAGAGTGGCCACCAGGGAAACCTGGGGAGGGCTAGCCTCCCACTAGTTCGAATTAAGGGTCTACACAGCCCTTAATTCGAACTAGTAAGTTCGAACTAGGCTTAATCCTCGTGGAATGAGGATTACCTAGTTTGAACTAAGCGCTCCGTTAGTTCGAATTAAGTTCGAACTAACGGAGCGCTAGTGTAGCGCCTATGAAAGTTAGTTCTAACTAACGTCCGTTAGTTCGAACTAACTTTGTAGTGTAAACATACCCTAACAGACTAGTTGTGACACTGTAAGGACTTAGTGGAAACAACAGTGTTTTACTATGATGTAGTTATGGGAGGCCAGTCATGGGGTGAAGGGGAGAGAAACAACATCATTATAAAAGGTACAGGCATCCATCAGGATTTTGCAGCCACATCAAAGACCTGTTTTAGTTATCTCCCTGTAAATAAAAAATACATCATGCAGACCCGCTTTAAAAGCCCAGTCTGATTTCCATTATATTAGGGGACATCTGAAGTGGCTTCCTGAAGTTAGTTTCAACAGAATTAATAATTGCTGGCCCATTTTGTCCAGTTTTGAGCACAAAGCTGGCTGCTTCATCATTGTGCTTCAAGCTCCAGCAGTGACTTGTCTCTTAATACTTTAAGTATATTCTGCGGTCCATTAAATAAGCTATCCAACTGCTCTCCCTGCGACAAAGTATTTGGTTATACTGTCCATTAGGGTCTATGTTCTTTCCGTAAGAGAAAATGAAAGAAAGCTAGTATTAGAGCTTAAATAATTGTGGATAAAGAGACAAAATCACAGAACAAAGACTTGGCCCAGAACAAAGACTTTTTATCTGAGGGAATGTAGCTTAAAATCTTGCAATAGAGAAGTATCAGTGCTGACAGCTGTCGTGCTTTCTACACTTTAACCCATCCAATGCCCGTTCCTTTTAGACTCCTTAGGTTCCAAAGGACAGAGTTTATTACACCCCAGTTCACCTCCAACTGAAGAAGAACCAAGTGCTCAAGCCTTATATTTGTTCTGAGTATTTACTATCACACAGCTGTGTCCAGTTCATGACATGAATGCCTCATTGTGTTGATACACCAACGGCATAATTGTTTTGGCTGCTTCGTGGTTGGTAATAAATGAGGAGCCAGAAATCACTTGTTGCTCTACAGTCAGATTTGCAGCCTTTATTATCAAATTAAATCCCTATTTCTCCACTTTATAAATCCGGATCCTACACTACTTAGGTCAGTGGCAGTATTACGATTGATTTCCACGAGGGCAGGACCACACTATGGAGGAGTAGTTGGACTTCGAGTCCTTATGTCTGAATGGAACAAATTCCAGAGGTTAAGCAAAACAGCTGGGTGCTGTCTAGATGATCTGCACAACTACGCTCGTCCTCGGGCTCTCTGTTCTGCTAAAGCTCTAGCAAAGAGGAGACAGGTGGGAAAAGCCCCATTTCATTTTGATTTTAAAGAAAAGTCAAGCAGGTGGCTAGGGCAGGGAGCTAGCATTGGCACCCTGCAGCTTCTCAGTGGGATACAGACCATTCGTCAACAGCAAGATTAGACCCATAGTGAGTTTTTAATGCCCGTCCCCTCTTACTC